CTATGTTACATTACATTACATGTCACTTGTTAGACGCTTTTATCCAAAGCGACTTACATACTCAATTTGGGGTGAGGTGTCTTGCCCAGGGACACAACGACATGCTGACTGCAGTGGGGTTTGAACCTGTGCTCCCCTGATCCCACCACGAACGCACAACCCACTGCGCTACACGCCTCATGTTCACACTGAGACAGTACAACACATAGAGAACAGTACACTCACTGTTAAAATGAACCTATAGACTGTTAATGTATTTGTAAGTGTGCAAACTTACACAATCTGCAAGGGATCAAATACGTATTTCCTCCACTGTATACAACCAGTGATATGTGTGGCTGTTGAGTCTACCAATCACACATTTCATAGCATCGATCTCCACCAGCGGCAGTCAACATGTCAACAAGTATCCTCCTCCAAATTGCTCTATAGGAATGTTTTAGAAGTGTATTTGAGTCGCTTTGGATCAAAAGTGTCAGCCACAAGGACATGTAATGAGGAGCTCAGGTCAGACACATTTCATTGCCATGTCTACACTGTAGCTTTGTGCATATGATAATAAAACCATTGAATTTAATTTGAATGTAATGGCGTGTGGTGCAGTGGGTTGTGCGTTGGTGTTCGGATCAGGGGGTCAAAGGTTCAATAAGTGAGTATGTAAGTCGCTTTGGATAAAAGCGTCTAACAAGTGACATGTAATATAACACAGATATACAGAGGTTAAATACAAAGATAGCTGAGCATTATATTTTTCTAAGCTAACTTGTGGTAGAAGAAGTGTTCGGGCCTTTACTTGAAGATCCAGTGGCTGGGATTTCATGGGATTTATTGGGAAAAGTGGTCCCCTAAAACTAAGAATCAGTCTTTTTGTTGTTGACTTGTTGTTGTACCGCCAAGTACGTTCATTTACGGTAGACAAACCCTGACGCATCTAATCTTGTGATCAGTCTAGCTACTTGGTGATGATATAATCAATCATCTGTAAACTTAGTTCCTGTTGACGTTCAGTAACAAAGACTTGATTACTTAGAAAACGTGATGATGAAAGGTTTCTGGGTAGATGTGTCCTTAAGGTTAATTGAGGCCAAGTTTGTTTCAGCACATGGTAACACAGAATCATGATTATCATCTTCACCCTCTCTTCGTCAAACCACACCCTGACACTAATTATTGTGTTTCCTGTTGTTAGACTTTTAGATGTTATCTCAGATGTCTGTTAACGGCTTCAGAGTGGAGACTTGTTGCTGCTGAGGGGACGGTTTGAGTGGGGGTGTTGTAGAAGAAGCTGCTTGGAAGTAGGCTAATGAAATGTCAGGAACTTAGTATCCATGAAGGTCTGCAGAGATGATAATCAAAAGGTCAACTCGAGTTGCAGATGCTTTCCCTCTGACTCTTAAAGGTCACATGTCATGGCCATTTCCACTGATCATGATTCCATTGTTGAGGTCGACTAGAATAGATTTATACTGTGCAATTTTCCAAACTCACATTGTTTCGCATACTAAAACTAGTTTACTCTGTAAACTACGTGTATTCACTCTCTCCACTAAACGGCTCGTTGCAGCTCTTGCCCCCCCCCCCCCCCCCCCCCCTCCCTGTGAGCCCAGTGTGCTTCTATTGGTCGGGACCAGTCGGGACGTTGTGAATCACGCTGAGCTCCGTGGAGGTGTGATTTCCTTGTTTAGCGATACACAGCGAAACACAGCCAAACTCACCCTGAGCACACACAAAGTCACAGCCGAAGTAAAAACAATAAGTGTGGCTTGATATTGAGTAAGAAAAAGGTTGATAAACGCTGTGAGAATGGGTCTGCAGAGAGAATGGGTCTGCAGAGAGAATGGGTCTGCAGAGAGAATGGGTCTGCAGAGAGAATTTCGCCGCGATCCCAACTGTCTGTTATCAGCCTGCAGGCCAGGGAGGAGAATCAGCAGAGCTGCCTGCACTGAGTGTGTGAGGAAGTCCGTGGATTGGTCAATTTGGACCAATCAGCGGGGGATTAACGTAACGGCTCCGCGGATGTAACGTAACGGCTCCACGGATTGGTCCATTTCGTTCCGGGTACGACATGACATCAGATGTCCCCGGAAGAATCAAATGGATGATGACGTTTCACCAACGAGGCGTTTTGGGGAAGGTATTTTCTGTATTAGAGTTTACTCGCTACAGGGTGTACTTTGAGGGTTTTGACTCTGCACACCGTTTACATGCATAAAAACCTTCATAACACACAAGGGGACGGGTAATAACCGGAAAAGCATGACATGTGACCTTTAAATATCTAACACGATTCAACATCTGTAATCTCCCAATTTGAACCACAACCTTTAACTAACCCACTTCATTCTCGGCATTCAGTTTGATTAAATATTCAAGCTTATCCAGCCAATCTTTTTCATTTGAGAAGAATGATGTCTTTAAGCTGCGTCATTTTGAGAATCAGTCATCTTTTTTTTTGTGCGTGAGATTTTCTTCTGATAAAATTACATTTGCTATTCAAATATTGTTCGATATGAAACATCCTGTTTACCGTTCTTCTTTTTAAATTCATCAGTGGACTCAATAATAAAGACGCTGCCCACACTTCTGTAGAAACCAGCACACATCTGGAGACATCTAGTCCATTTAACCGTGCGTTGGTGTTCACTAGTTGATATTTCTGTATGTTTTGAGGTCAAAATACAACATCTTTACACGAAAACATATTCAGTGAAATGCTTCTTGCTGAAAAAGACCAGCATGTGTAAATGTTCCTTTTGAAATGTTACAGAAAAGCAGAACGACTATCTGGGAAGTTGCAGCTAATGTCTAAAATTGTGGTTTTTCAAATATTCCCCAAAAGAAGATGTTGTGTGGTGGTGTATATAATTTAAAGTGAGAGATGCACATTGCTTGGAAAGACATTGTGGTCATAAGTCTTTTTCATTAGACTTTTTAAAGGTTTTTCTCGACTAAAATGCCTCAAAGGAATTAAGCCTTTCGATGAATCGAAGCCAAACACTTAGTTTTGCGCCTGTGTTAATCTGAGTTGAAGTGGAAGTGATTTGAATAACATCGTTTTAGTGCAAATGCATCTGTTTGGGATGTAGTGAGTTCATAACAAGATGAATTTGACTTGCATTGTACTGCATAAGTTGTGTGAGAGTTCATAGACCGATTTACTACAATTATGGCGCATTTCCACTGCAGCACGGTTTAAGCGTGCCGTGCCAAACCCGGCCCGTTTAAAATTCGTGTTTTCTGAATGGAGATAAGCTAACGTTGTATATGCTCCGACCGTCCACACTCACAACAACGGCCTACAGACATAAATAAACCAGCGACTGTATTCACCATGACACAGACAGTCTGTGGTTTGTACTTGTTTAACTTTTGTCTAGTTTCTGAACAGATATGAAGAGCTGTGAGCTCTGAGGGCTAACAGCTAAAGGCGGATGTAGGTTTTCTGTGGTTCTCATTGAAGATGACGTCACGGCTCCGCCTTCACTGCGTTACTATAGTTACTGCCCCAGCTACTAAACTGTAATGGAAACGCACCATAAAGTGAGCCGGGCCTAACATGGCCTAACGATACCGTACTAAGCCTTGCGAGGCCCTGCCGTGGAAATGCGCCATTAGATTCCTCGTTCACCTTAAACACATGAGCTAAAAGCAAAGGTTTCTTCAAGAATTGAAGGTAACATTGGGTATGTTATTACAATTTAAAAGGGAGGGAGTTCTCTGGGTTTATTCCTTTGAAACCTGCTATTTGACACTGGAAAGAACATGTTATAAAGAAAAGGATCCTTAATGGAGGGCCTCCTATTTTAAAAAAAAAAAAAAAAAAAAAAAGGGGATTTCTACCAGTTGAGTATTATGACCCTCTAACGAGAAACACTCGCCAACACCAGAATATATGAAAGTCAATTTATCTGAACCCTAAACCCTCTTTGGTTTCCAACGGGTTAATTCGTCATCACAGCGTGAATCCCTCGTGGGTTTTTAGTGACGTTGGGTCCTCTTCGGCCTCTGGACATCTGAGTTGTCTGAGTGACACTCGGCTTGTTTTTATTCACGGTACAAAGCATTATAACATCAGTCCCAGTGTGACGCTGTGAGTCACCCCGTCATGAACACTCTCTTCACAACGCTGCTCAGTGTCCGGCAATGAATTCAGACATTGTCTGCAGCACAGACCCAATGCAAAGAGTGTGTGGGTGTATTGTAGGAACCAATGAATGATGGTGTGTTGAAGACTATGTGTGTTTGTATGAAAGTCTAAAAAGTTATTTCCATTTTAAATGTAAGACACAAAGTGAAGCTTTCTCTGTAAAGTTCAACTTTATCTTAATAAGTACTTCAAGAATTATAAACATGTTTTTCTACAAAACCCCTTTTTCATTCAACACAAATAGCCAAAGATCTTACGCTTTACATGCGATTCGAACATCACAGCTGAAAAAAGGTACTTTCTCTGTATAAAACAGCCTTAAATGGCTATTTAAATGTGGAATTATGGGCTTAAATGTGTAAATCTGACCAGATATTTGGTGGTTTTAATATCAGGCACAAATAACTCATTTAGCTGAGGACAGTATGGTTGTATTGTAGCAGGACATAATAGTGTTGTGTTGCAGCCTCTATGTGTTTGTTTGTATGAATGTCTGAACATTGTTTTTACATTTTAAATGAAATATCCCCGGTGTCAAAAAGCACTTTGAGAATTTCTCCGAACTCATTTTAGGTCCAACAAAGAAGTCAAAGATCTTAAATTTTAGATGTTATTTTAACATACCGGCAAAAAAAGAACTTTGCCTGCATGCAATGTTCTTAAATTGCTATTCAAATGAGCAATTACGTGATAAATGTGTAAATCTGACCAGATATTTAATGTCTTTGATTCAGGCACTATGAACACATTGTGCTGGGGTCCAGATCCCCAGTATAAAGACTTGGTTGTATTGCAGGACCAAATAAAAGTAGAAAAGTATAGTCAAAAGTACTTCTTCTTCTTCTGTCTGCAGGTGATGAGTGTAGCGGTGCTGATGGAGACGCTCTGAGGGTGACACTGGGAAAGTCCTCACCCTTCCTCCTCCTTCCTCACTCTTCCTCACCCTTCCTCCCGCTGAAAGCTGCACACATGTTTTCTCTCGGTCAGGAAAACATCCCCTCCTCCCCGGCCTCCACCAAAGGACCAGTGAAATATGGAGAGCTCATTGTTCTGGGGTAAGAAGCTTTCTCTGCTGCGGTTTAAAACGTCTGAATCATCGACGCTGAGCTGTTCAGGTTCTGCTGGTTTGAGCCCTCAACAATGTGCACTTCACTGCTGACCATTTCATTTAGTGGAGAACAGCTTCTGTTTTTACATCTGGCTCCTACTTCACAGTTCACAAAGTAAACTGTCAGTATTCAAATCAAATTATAAATAAGTGTTGTCATTTCCTTGTTTTAAAGGCTGCATTATAAAGTGTTGTCTTTATCCACTAAGTCATTATATCCACATTACTTTAAAAAAAGATTGTGATATAATCCATATTGCTCGGCTCTATTTAAGATAGTTGTACTGTATACGAAAGTTAACACTTGTGCTGCGTTCACACCGGACGCGATGCGAATATTCGCTTTACTCTAAACCGCGGCTGTCTGCTGGGTTTACTCGCATCATTCAAACAAGACGCGCTGTCTCGGGAGCTACAACAAAATGAACATATTTGACCGTGATTGTAATACACGTTTCATACTGATACCGGTTAGTAAAAACCATGAATGAATGCTGTCTGCAGACAGACGGCAGGCGAAAAACCTTTTGAAATCCGTGTTGCCATCAGGTTAAGCTAACGTTGTATATGCTCCGACCGTCCACACTCACAACAACGGCCTACAGACATAAATAAACCAGCGACTGTATTCGCCATGACACAGGCAGTCTGTGGTTTGTACTTGTTTAACTTTTGTCAAGTTTCTGAACAGATATGAGGAGCTGTGAGCTCTGAGTGCTAACAGCTAACGGCTGATGTTTTCTGGATGAACGTCAGTGACGGCAGGCTGAGATCCTCACCGCTGATTGGCTACCGCAAGATCGCGTCACGCGAATATGACGCTCGAGTTGAAAACATTTAACTCGAGCGTTCAACCCCCTTCAATCGCCTCAATCGCGCCGCGGAATTCGCGTCCGCCGCGGAATTCGCGTCCACCGCTTCATGCTCGCCGTCGGAGCGAATTCGCGTCTCTGCATTGACTTTACATGTAATCGCGCAGCCCCCAAACATCGCATCGAGTCCGGTGTGAACGCAGCATTAGCTTTACTTGTGTATCAGGAAACTTTTCATCGAGTGATCGAAACTCATCTTTGAGATGCTCTCGGGCACTTTAGGAGACCCACCAATGGGATAGAATAGATCAGAGTAAATCTTTATCCTCCACCAGGATGGAGATTTGTATTTGTAATCATCCCGGCTACAGATGGGAGTAATCTGCTGTACCTTAATGTGTGAGTAACCTGTGGACATCCAGAGGGACTACGCTTTATTTATGACAGATTCACAAACACTACCATGTCATAGGGCTTACTACTTTTATACTTTCAAGGAAATTATAACACATTTTTTGGTAGTTTCTAGAAATGTTCTTCAAAAATGTTTATCATTCAACACAAGAAGCCCAATATTTTACAATTCAAATGTCGTTTTAACATAAGCATTGTAGTGGCTTTATAACTTCATCCATACTCAAGCCACTGAGGGATGGGAACGGGAGAACTAAGTTCGGACGCGTGTTCCAGATGACAAAGCAATGTCCATACGAGTGTATATCTTTCAATCCATCGATCCTTTTATTTTGTTGTCCATATAGCCTTTCTGTTACCATTCAGAAACCAATATATGCACGCCAGTCACGCTGAATACAAACAGGTTTAACACACACAGCTCACATTGACACGGCTTCGGCCGACACGCTCGAAAACTGTTTGCTACCGTCCCAAAACATCTGCACCTGATCACCCAGTGATTACATGTATACACACACACACACACACACACACACACACACACACACACACATACACACACATACACACACACACACACACACACACACACACACACACACACACACACACACACACACACACACACACACAAGTGAATACTCCATCTTGTGTAGAAAGTGCATCATTAATTAAACGTCCAGATAAAAAGACACATGCATTATGGCTCCAACAAGCATACATAAGCAGCCAGACAACAATGTGTATGGCTGCTTAGTGTATGAGCTTGTATACAATTGTCTTAAACGGTTTTGTTAATCAGTAGTTATATGATTAAAGATTCAAATTTGACCACATTTTAAATGACAGCTTTGTTTGTGATACTAGACACTAGTATGAACACATGGGGTCCGGTCCTGAACATGTATTAAGGTGTGATACCCTGCTGTGTGAGGTCTAAGCACTTGAAGCCTTTAAACTAAATGTATGTGTCTGTATTTCATCTTAAACTTGTAGGTGAATGCCCACACTTTGCACAAGTTGCTTCAAATGTGCAAACCCTTTTAGTTCAGATAAGAATGTGACATTTCTCCAGATAAAAAAGATTGAATAGATAACTTCATTTGATCTCAGTGGGACTTTAGTACAGTATGAAATAGTTCAGAAGCTGTGCCTGGTCCAGCTTAACGTGTAGACGCTCCACCGCAGAGAAGAATGCAGCTCACTTCCTGCCTGAAGGCCTTTCACTGCGGACTCAGGGAGACGTCAGGAGAGTTGTGGCTGCTGTGGTTTCAGACCTTTTGTTTGCTTTCGTATCACATGTGGAACCCAACAGTCTGGGAGACCATGTAACTGACAATTACACCGCTCACAGGGTGTCATTTTAAAGAGACGTATAGTTTGTGAGAACAGAGGCAGTGGAGCCACAGTGGGTTTGTCCTGAAACGCAGGAAGTTAGCATTATCCCGTGGAAGAATGGCTCCACTCAAATGTGTATATGATCCTCAGGCTGGCTCTGCAGATAACCTCCAGACAAACACTCCTAATTAAACCTCCAACAGATTCATAGCTTTCATAGTTTTCCTTTTGACAATAATGTGCAAAATGTAGTTGACCCACCAGGCTTCCTGTCTCCAGTGAAAGCTGCCAAATAATGTTTGGGAAATCTGCCTGTTAGGTAGAAAGGGCCAGCTTATCAGACAAGCAGAAGGGGTTAGAAGAGCTTTGACACACATACAACTTCCAATAGATTACAAACAGATACAACAATGGATTCTACTTTTCTAAAACGTGTAGCTTTTTATTTGAAGTAAGTATAAATTGGTTAAAGAATAGACTGTATCTAATGGCAACAGATGATACCTCACCTCAGGTTGGTTAAATGAACAATCAGGTGGATGTTTCGGACGAGATTTGCTAAACGATGACTTTATCCCACTTCTGGTTTGCTGTCAGCATAACTCTGTATATATCCACTTTAATGTAGAGAACCCCCCCCCCAGACTTCCTGACTGAAGGCCTCTCTCTGCTGACTCAGAGAGCGCCTGTGGTTTCAGACCTTTTGTTAGCTTCTGTGTTATTGTGTGAAGAACTGAAACCCTGCACTGTCACGCCGTTTCACTGAAGTGTGTTATAAACCACGGTTGAGCTTCTTTTAGTAGATTGAAATGACCTTAATATGTGCTTTTACACGTTTAACTTGTTCACTCCGTGCAGATCCTGTGTGATTATAATCAGACGTTTCCCATGTTGTGTTCAGGTGTAATGGCTCTCTGCCAAGCGGTGACAAGGGGAGGAGGAAAAGCCGCTTCGCTCTGTCTCGCAGGAACAAGGCCAACGGCGTGAAACCGAGCACCGTGCACTCCTCGTGCACGCCTCAGGCTGCCAAGGTGAGCGCTTTGAACTCAGGTAGAGAACATCAGGCACTATGACAGGGAGTGCAGAGGACAGGACCTTTCAAAGTTCATAAAAGAAGACAGAGAGGGAATTCACGCTCTTGGATATTACTGATTTATTGTGGTTGTGTGGGGTACCTGCAATTAACTAATAAGACATGGGAAACACTTTATTTTATTTACATTTGGATCACAATGTTGTAGTTTCCTGCCAAATGAGTTTGATGGGTACTGTCAGATGGACCAAATCAAGACATTTCTAATTGTTCCGTTTGTATCTCTCCTATAGTAGCAGTCATTAAGCATTAACTGCAATATAACAGATGGTTACAAACATGTAAACGCTGACATGTTTTCTATCTGTTCTGTTTCTGTTATGTTATCAGGATAAACAAGATTTTCTTCGCACTTTTGTTGCTCTGTTAAAGCCTTACTGCATCATTAATGAAATATACTATTATTGAACAATTACAGGTGTGTTTGTCATATCTTAAACGCATTTTAAAAAGTGCCTCTCTTGTGTTTGTGCAGGCTGTGAGCAACAAGGAGCAGCACAGTATTTCCTACACTCTGTCCCGGGCACAGACGGTGGTGGTGGAGTACACGCAGGACGGCAGCACGGACATGTTCCAGGTCTGTAGCATCGACTGACTCTACCTGATGCTCCTGCAGATACACAGATCACAAACCACAGACTAAATGTAGCCTTTCATGATCTATCTTTGTGTTTCTGGTAGGGCTGTCAAATGATTACAATTTTTAATCAGATTAATCACAGCTTAAAAATGTATTAATCATGATTAATCACCATTCAAACTATGTCCAAAATATGCCATTTCTTTATGTATATTGTTGTGGGAATGGAAAGATAAATGAAAGAAGGCGGATATATCCATTTAACGTATGTATGTTTATTATAACATTGTTCTGTGTGTCAAAATGAAAGACAGCACACACACCTATCAATCATCTTATTTCATTACGTGTTGATTTCTATCAACACGTAATGTTGTATCGATGTGTATAGAGATGCAGCAAAAGTATTCTCCGTCGGGACTTCCTGCAACAACACCACGCCGTTATCTTGATTCTGATTGGCCAGAAGACATTATCAAAGATGTTCTATTAAGAAGACGATCACTACGTGACAAAAGTTTTCAAAACCGTTTCTGGTCTTCGGTATTTCCAGAGAAGTGGCCTCTACTGAAATCAATCTTACTAACTGCCGTCTGTGCAATTTACTCGGCGCGAGTTGGCGGACTTTATTTTGCTTACTTTATCATCATTTTTCATGGTGGGGCTAAGCCATTTCTTGGTATGGCTGTAGCCTACCCCAGCCATACCCTGGCGCTGCCACTGGTGCGATGTATGGGGCGGGCCATTCTGCACATGCGTTAAATGCGTTAAATATTTTAACGCAATTAATTCAAAAGATGAATTACCGCCGTTAACGCGATAATTTTGACAGCATTAGTTTCTGGAAAGCTAAAAAAGGATTACACAACTACCTACAAGTCGTGAGAAAGAAAAGCTACAATTAATTTTGTTATGCATGTTTCTTTTCGATCACCATGCTTTTGTAATGTTGCACAATTTTTGGCTCTTGGCAGAATTTCCTTAACCCATGAAAGACCAAATGAAACTCGGAACAAAGAGTGAGAAACCACATTTGAGGAATTGGAAACTGAAATGGGAATCAACACGCTTCAAAGAAATAGCTTTGATAACAGTTCCAGAAAGTAATGTTAAGAAAAAGCCACGTTTACATTTGTCGTTGCTCAATAACTGACATCCGTAAAAAAGTTTGGTCAAATGTTTTATCCGAGGAACTGCAGATTCATTCTATACCCAATATATCTTATGACACAATATGTGAAGAATGAAAAACAGTTTTAGTTATCTTTGACGACATCTTTACTGAAAGGGAGCTTGGAGGGATTATATATATTTTTGGGGGAAGTGCACTTTATCTACCGTTAACATGACAGTTGGGAAGTAGAGGCCACTTCATCGACTCACTGTCACAATGTACATGACACTATACAGAAGTATCTGCTGCAGTTTCATGTGCACACACTTCTAGGTACCAGCAATGATTTTATGTAAGGCGTCTTTGAGCATCAGGAAAAGCGCAATATAAATCCCATGTATTATTATTATTATTATTATTATTATAAACCCTGTCTGTGCTTCATCACAGATTGGCCGCTCCACAGAGATTCCCATTGACTACGTGGTGACGGACACGCTGCCCGGGGGTCAGATCCAGGTGGACGGTCAGACGGTTCAGAGCACCATCTCCCGCTTCGCCTGCCGCATCATCTGCCAGAGAGACGCTCCGTTCACCGCACGCATCTACGCCGCCGGCTTCGACTCCTCCAAGAACATCTTCCTCGGGGTAGGCTGCAGAAACTGGGGCTGCTAGAGGGGGATACTGCTCTGTGTCGATATGACCGAAGTTGTTACACTACATTTAATTTAACAGACATTTTTATAGGAACAAGGTCACTTCTTGTTGACACATTTTGTACCGTTACGCAGTACTTTGACCCCTAACCCATCACAGTCCCCCTACTTCCACTCCTACTGCTATTTATTTAATTTTTACTTTATTATTTGCCCCTTTTTGTTTCTTTGTTTCTTTGTTTGTTCAGCTTGTAAAGCGGCCTTGGGTCCATTGGAAGGCGCTATACAAATGTAATCTATTATTATTATTATTAGTTGTTACAGCAAAAGTACAGAGGAAAAAATGTACTATTAAATAAGAGGCACGCATGCAATTATGAATATAGAAATGACACAAATTACAATTAAAGAAAAGTACACATCCAGGTGGACAACAACAAGTACCAGCAACAGTTTTAAAAAAAAAATAAGTGTAGAAAGTAGAAGATGCTATAGAGAGGCCAAGTCCCTCCCTTTCCGGTGACCTCCATGGGCCTTATTTCTGAAAAATGATGTATTGAAGTCAATGGAGAGAGAAAACGTATCTTTCGATCCCGTTTGAATTGTGCCATGAATTACATATGATGTTTGTCAATCTTAACAAATAATTTCCATGTAAAAAAAGTCAGTTTGTCGTAAACTGTTGAAATATAAGACTATGAAAAATACGCAACTAGAAAGACTACAAATCCCAGAATCCCGGTCCCGCATGCTGGCTCTTACGGACCGACTAACTCCCCTTGTGTGTGTGCACAGCTCTCAACGCGCCCAGACTTGGAGTGATTTTCACCTCTTTTAATACTTTCCGCCTCGTTCTGAAAGAAAGAAGTGAGATGTTCCAACGTGACGGCCATCTTGGTGTGTGGTGCGAGACGGGAGTTGTAGTTCATTGAGCGTTTCACGCACAAAAAGTGTTACTTCACAGTTTTACGACACGTTTTAATTTTGCAAAATGATCTTTTAAATTGACAAACATCATATGTGTAATTCGTGGCACAATTCAAACGGGATCAAAAGATAACCTTTCTCTCTCCATTGACTTCAATACATACTTTTTCCGAAATAAGGTCCCATGGAGCTCCCCCGGAAAGGGAGGGGCTTCGCCTCTCTAGATCATGTTATGTGTTCTGTAATAACAGGTCATATTTTTAAACTTTTGTCTCAGGAGAAAGCAGCTAAATGGAGGATGCAGGACGGTCACATGGACGGACTGACCACCAACGGGGTTCTGGTGATGCACCCCCGACAGGGCTTCACCCAGGACTCCAAACCCGGCCTGTGGAGGGAGATCTCCGTCTGCGGAAACGTGTTCACGCTGAGGGAGACCAGGTCCTCTCAGCAGAGGGGCAAGATGGTGGGTGAGCCTTACTCTGCATGGGAGCTGCAGATAGTTTTTTGATGTAAACACATCATTCAATGTTGTAAGGTAAACATTCAGTGTTTCTAACAAACATGTAGTTATTCATCCTGGCCCTTTGTCAGTGCATCGATATCTGTCTTTGCACATTACTGCCACCATCTGTGGATCATTAGAAATGCACCAGAGCAAAGTTGAGTTTGACTCGTGTAAATGAACAATGCAAGCTTTAAGAAGGACATCATATGTTCCACTTCACACTTTAAGAGAACTGCTGTTTAACATGTAAACTAGATAATAACCATTAAGTTCAAGAAGATGTTTAAGAGGCAGAAAACCGCTCAAGCTTTCTTTCGTGACAATAAAAAAAGCAATTCCAGCAACTGTTTCGTATAGATGTATATATACTTTTATCAAATAGTTTTTCAGAATTTCTTCCCTCATTTTTATAATACCTATGTATTTTTTGTTTTCATTGTCTTTGTTTGTCATTTATCTTTAAGTTGGATGCAGCAGTGTTACCCCCAACAAAGATCCTTGTGGACAATTAGGCATATTTTCTAAATCGTTTTTTATCGTATCGTATCGTGTCTTGTCTTATGGTATCTTATCATGTTGTAACGTAGCGTAACGTAGCGTAACGTAGCGTAACGTAGCGTATCGTAGCGTAGCGTATCGTAGTGTATCTAATCTTGTCATATTGCATCGTATCCTTGCATTTGTTGCATCAGATTATAGTATATCTTGTCATGTTGTATCGTATCTTGTTTTATCGTATTGTATGGTAGCATATCTCATCTTGTTGTGTCTTGTCATATCGAGTTGTTTATTGTGTCATATTGCTTCGTATTGTCTTGTCATGTCCTATGGTTGTATCGCGTCATATCTCCTCTTATTCCGTCCTTATCTTATAAAAGACATTCCAACAGGATTCATCGTCACATTGTCATACTGTATATCTGCTCCTCTCTCTCCAGATGGAGCCTGAGTGTAACGAGCTGGTGGACGGCTCCCTGGTGGACCTGTGTGGAGCGACCTTGCTGTGGCGCACGGCGGAGGGCCTCGCCCACACCCCCACCGTCAAACACCTGGAGGCCCTGAGGCAGGAGCTGAACGCGGGACGGCCGCAGTGCCCCGTGGGCCTCAACACGCTCGCCTTCCCCAGCATGCGGCGCAAAGACGTCCTGGACGAGAAGCAGCCGTGGGCCTACCTGCGCTGCGGACACGTGCACGGATACCACGGCTGGGGGGGCCGCCGCAACCCCGAGGTGGAGGCGGAGTGCCAGGAGAGAGAGTGCCCCATGTGCCGCACGAGGGGCCCCTACAAGCCCCTGTGGCTGGGCTGCGAGGCGGCTTTCTACCTGGACGCAGAGCCGCCCACACACACATTCATCCCCTGTGGACACGTGTGCTCGGCGAAGACGGCGGCGTACTGGAGTCAGATCCCGCTGCCGCACGGCACACACACCTTCCACTCTGCGTGCCCCTTCTGCATCGAGGCGCTCAGCGGGGAGGCCGGCTGCATCAAACTCATCTTCCAGAGCCCGCTGGACTAGAGACCCCTCAGACTGCTTGGCTGAAAAAAAGAGTGTCCTCGACCACCAATGAGAAATGGACTGTACTTATATAGCGCTTCATCCAGTTTTTACGACCCCTCAAAGCGCTTTACAAGTTCATCTACATCCACCCATTCACACCCATTCATACAGAGCAGTGTACCTTACTCTAGGAACTAACATTCGTACACACTCACACACTCATTCACAACTCAGGGTTCAGTATCTTGCCCAAGGATACATCGACATGTTGACTGCTCTGGCTGGGATCGAACCCACAAAGACGCCCTCACAGCCACAGTCGCCCATAAATACAGTTAAAGTAGTTTGACTGTTGTGTAAACGAGCAATGAAAGAATATCCGTCTCTTCACACTTTAAGAGAATTATTGTTTAACAGTAAACTAAATAATAACCATTACCTTCAAGAGGATGCTTAAGAGGCAGTAAACCGCCACACGCTTTCTTTCATTACAGTAAAATAAAGGAGACACCTCAGACTGCTTGTCTCAACAACAGAAAAACGAGTTCTTTCTATAACTTAATTTTGTATAACTTAATTTAACTTAATTTCCGAGCAATAGAAATACACGTATTGGGTATATGATTCAGGCTTTCTTTGTTGTCCTCCTCTGAAGTGGTGAATGTTCCTCCCTGGTCTAAACTGTGAATTGCAGTGAATGTATTCCCTGTAATTGTCACACTTTGCAAAATCATCCCGCCTTACCTAAACAACAGAAGGCACAACCATGAGTCGGTTTGATCACTTAATTTAACTTAATTTTGAGCAATATAAATACATATATTGGGTTTTTGATTCAGGCTTTGTTGTCCTGTTCAAGTGGTGAATGTTCTCCCCTGGACTAAACTGTGATGATTGCCTCACACTCTGTAATGTAATGTCCTCGCCTTAAAGTACATGAAAGTTGAGGAAATGGCAGTTAATGTATTCCCTGTAATTGTCGCACTTTGCAAAATCATCCTGCCTTGTCTGAAAAACATAACGGTCCTTTTGATAACTTAACTTAACTTAATTTTGAGCATTATAAATACTTGTATTGGTTTGATGCCTGCCCTCTTTGGAACGTGTAATGGTGCAGGCTTTGTTGTCCTCCTCTTAAGTGGTGTTCTTCCCTGGACAAAACTGTGATGATTTGCCTCACTCTTTATTTATTCCAGTAATGTGTTTGTAAATCAATGCAATATCTAACAGCCTTAAAGAGAAATGAACACTAACACACGATCACAGTTTGGTTTTATTGTCTTTGGTCTATGTGTTTTTTTAAGGCTTTTCTATGGGGAAAATGGAAATGTAAACATGTTGGGGAATAAACTAATATTTCTGTATTTAATTATTGTGTGGGAAATCGAGTGAGCTTCCTCTGCAATGTGGTTGTCTAACTGAGCACAGAAATGCTGTGTGTAATGATCCTAATTCCAGCTTTGTATCATAACACAAATATATTTCTTGGGGAAACGTTTTAATCTGCTGTCTTGTGACTTGAAACACAAAGATTCAGACTGAGCTTTTAAACCAAATAAAAGTACAATACAGACAAGAAATAAAAACATACATGGCGCATCGTGAGGCCAACCTCCCACTTGGAAATAAGAAATATTTAGAGTAAATTCCACAAGCTACCCTGCAGTATACAAAGTCATTCAAACTAGCTGCACCTTCACCAGCTTTGAGAACACTTTCATGATCAATCATTATAAAACATATCATATATATTATTCTGAAATGGACCAATCTGCACAACGACTACTTTTACTGTCGCTACTTTCACTATATTTTGATGCTAATTAATACGTAATAAAGAGTCGTGCTGCACGGCCGGACTTATCTCAGCCAATGACAGCTCTGCATGCATCCCCTGGATATTATTTTTATTTACTGCTTGAATCGTGACGCGATGTTAACAGTGAGAACAGCGGTGAGGTCCGTGCAGAAAGCAGAGCAGTGTGTAGTATAATATATATCACTCAGTATAACAGGCCTACATTACTCTCTGTATGTGTATGCTTTAGTTTAGTAGATATCTACAAACAAAGATATTTTTCTATGACCATTTAGTGCTTCACATAATAAAATACACAACGGCTGTAGCCTGATTATGCTTTAGGAGCTGTAGGTGTGTGTGGTACAGTGTGTAGGTGTGTGTGGTACAGTGTGTGTGTGTGTGTGTGTGTGTGTGCGTGCGTAGTTGCGTGCGTAGATACGGCGGACAGACCGGTTTACGCTTACTTTTAATACTTGTAAATAAAACTTGAATTTTTTTTAATGAATTAAAAGTAAATAAGTCATCGTGAACACAGTTCTGTCCATCAGACAGAGTGCTGCTGTGCCTCCTGTCATCATTAATGGACCTCTCTTTAAAATGACTGCTCTGAGGAGAGGAGTTCTAATTTCTCTAAACACCTGCTGCTTCCCCTCCTCGATTCCTCCGCTCGCATCTCCTGTGGGCGGGACTAAGACATGAAGATAGGAGTCGAGGAGGGGAGTCGAGGAGGGAAATTAGAGAAATGAGAAAGGCCCCGGTCAGCAGCGGGCAGCAGCTAGTTTTATGAAGAGAGAAGAAGAAGCGGCCCCTCCTCCTGTGGTGCATGATGGTCTCTGCTGCTGCTGTGTATGTTTTCCTCCCGGTTCCTCCGGTGTTTCTGTGATGGTGAAGAGGACAAACACCGGCTGCTGTGCTTTTAACGACAGGTACGGACGAAACCCCGCAGTGTGTGACCTCTCCCGGTTTTGTCTCTCATATCCCTCCGCCTGTCAGAGCATTAGCCGTTAGCTGCTAGCATTAGTCTACGTGTAACCCGGTGTAAGTGTAACCCCACAACATTAGCTTTAGCATTAGCTTCTGGCACAGGCCTCGGATATTCACAGCCTCCTCAGCCCTGTCATCGATTGTTTAATGCAGGGTTGTGTGTCTTTGGTTACCGTTAAGTGTTGACCTCACTATCAGATCACTGGATTTATCGCTAAAGGCTACAGCAGTCAATGCATGGAAGCTAAGCTAAAGCTAACAGGCTAGCTTCTGTCACTGCTGCCTGTTCTGCTGAAGACACCAGTGGTGGAATGTAAGTACATTTACTAAACATGTTCTACTTATATTTTGGAAAATTGGAGGTGTTTGTACTGTACTTAAGTATTTACTTTTTTCAGATCATGTACTTAAGGAAAAGTATAAGTACCAGAATGTAGTAATACTACACAAGTAAATGTCCTGCATTCAAAATGTTACAAGTAAGTGTTAACATTCAAAATATACTTATAGTACCAAAAGTAGTCATTGTGCAGATGTAGTTAGTAAGTACAACACTGCCTTTTATGTAACTACACTTCTACTCCACTAACGTCACATCTCAGAGCTAAATATTGTACTTTTTACTCCACTTCTGTATTTCTGAAAACGTTCTTCTTAATATTTGCTGCTGCGATTTTCCCTCTTCTATCATAATCTGTCCTTTTTATGAGCACCCAAAACGATATGGACAGGCAACACAACATTGCTGGAGCAACTATTTAAACCCCTTAGTTATTATATTAATACGTTATTAAGAGTTTGAGGTAGAGCTTTATTACAACACTGAAATATATTACTGTTAATTGATTATTTGGCTTTTCTACAGAAACACAGACCAGTTGAATTGTAAACACGATTGTCGACAGAGAGTCAAAGTTGATTTTCTTATAATGACTTACATTTTATATTTACATTTCCTGTCCCAGAGAGGTATTTACTTAAACCGCCAGAACACAGAAGCGTCCAAATATTGATCAAGCACACGAACATAAAGATATCAGCATGTATGTAAACACATGGCGACATACAGATGGACGGTGCACAACATCTTGTGTAATGTTGAGTGTTTGAACAACACGTACATCATTACTGAGAAACAACCAACACATTTTCTTTCTCTGTCTTTCTGTCGGAAAGAACATAAGTTTTAATTACATTTAAGAGTTTTTTTACAGCAGCGAATAATGATGAGTTGAATCTGTGACAGACTGGTTTTATTTGATTATGCAACCCTCTTAAGCATCACGTCTGCTTTCACAAAATAAATTGCCCAATCATTTCTATTTTTACCTCACAGACGTCTTGGTGAACAGCGTCTGCATTTTTACACTTCAAATTGTTTATTCTGTCGCCTCAGGATGTGACGACGAGACAGTTTTTGATGTATAGACAGAATGAGATCAAACAGTGGTGGTGGGAACAGAGAGGCTGCAGACCCTTCCTCTAAATCTGTCATCAGGGATTCAAAGAAGTGATTTGACTCCTCCACAGTCTGAGCAGTCAGATTCAAAGCGGAAACGAAAAGACTCCACTTCAAATCATCTGCTGCTACTCAGTCTTTATTATCAAATCAAATGTAACTCATCTCTTCACCACTGTCTATCCATGAGCCCCCCCCCCATCAAACCATTTCCTGTTGACTGTCTTTGTTTGACCACCCTCCCTTGCACTGTAAAGCGCCTTTGAGTTCAAGAAAGCTCTATATACATATAATGTATTATTATTATTCTCTGTCTTCAATGTTTTTGGAGAGGACACAGCAGATGGATGTAACTCTAACAGCTCAGTGCTGAGTTTAAGGGGCTGTTGGTAATTCATCTGTGTTATCTGCTTTGTGAATTTCAGTCAATAAGATTCTCAGAAAATACCATGGATTCCTTCATCTGAATGTGACATATTTTAAATACTGTACCAACAGTTTCATGAAACCCCTAAAACATGTATTGACCCCTTTCAAGATCTTCAGACTAAAAATATCTCCAAAGACTATTTACTGTTGTAAATAATAAGCTGCCATTTACTCACATACTTTAGATAGGGTTATTAAGTGTCACAGTCATTAAGTGGAATACATTTAATAAATAATTAAGTTAAGTGCTCAAATCTCTTTATTTTGTTTTACCATCTGTTACGTTCCCACTTGGCTAGGGTACAAACGGGGAACGACACGACCAGATTGGATTTGGTATATTTGTTACCGGTGGTTTTATTGTCACTGAAACTAGGCAAAATGATGGTCACACAGATTGGCCCCACAACACGGGTCAATCTGTCACTATAATACAACACAAAGGGTCTCCAAAAGAGAGTTGCCCCGCTATAGAAAGAAAAACAAATCTCACTACTCAAGTGGAAACAAGCAATAAACAAAACGGGACTGTGGAAACACACAGCTGGTGCGGGTCTACAGGTGCTAATCACCTGGCTCTACGCAATATCCACTCACAGGAACGCTGGTCTACAGGTGCTAATCAACCTGGATCTAAGCAGTATACACACACAGGAACGCTGGTCTACAGGTGCTAATCAACCTGGATCTAAGCAGTATAAACACACACAAAATCCCTACGCTAACACAGAACCCGACGACACACTGCTACTCAGTGTGCTCGCCTAGAACCCTCCTATAGACACTGCTAATCAGTGGAGCTAATACCAAAGACACACGCTAAATCTCAGAATTCACAGAAAGAAGGCTTATCACAAGGATAGGGTTGAGGCATCTGACACAAAATACAGAGCCTCCCGACTGTTGTCCGTGCTCAGCCTTTATACTCCTCCCCCGGATGACGTGGCAGGAGCGAGCAGGAGCAAGCAGGAGCGAGCAGGGGTTGGGCGACGTCTGTCCAATCCCCGCGGATGTTGAGCGGTCCGGACGGCCAATGACAGCAGAGGAACTGCACAACTCATTTACATACACAAACAGACTTAAGCTCACAAGGTAGCAGCGGCTGTAACACCATCCATAAAAACAGCTCAGCACAGAAGTGTGTACTTGTTGAACTGTTGTGTTCAGGTGGTGTAACTGACAGTCATTGAGTCACTCGGTGTCACCACCCTGAACCTGCAGCACTGAGCGATAACAACACACTTTCAGTCCTGCTTTGAGCTTCTGCAGCTGCATGAAACACACTCGCACTGAACAGGTGTGACTTCCTGCACTTTAGAGGACACGGAAAGCTTTGAGAGAGGTGCTCGGATGATTTACTGTGTTCTAGTTAGTTTTTAATATTGAACAGTTTTTTTATTAAGATTTAGATTAAGAGATGTAAACATATATATTGCAACGCAGCTTAACAGGTTTAACTATAACCTATATTTTCATTATTGTCATCAAATTCCATGAAGATATCGAGACTACATGTTTGTTCATTCCTCATTAATGTCTGTGGTTCTTCGCTCCAAGCCAATTGGTTACTACTAAATATGTTAATCTTTAAAAACACAAATATAGAGTCTGCCTTCTTTAAAGGAGGCTATGTCAATTCTGCTTCAACGAACAGGAGGAATAACTGCATTTGTTTGGGACTATTTTCATCTCCGCATTAAACCACATTTGGTGCTCTAGTGAGTGTGTGTGGCAGCAGGAGAGTGTGTGTGGGATTGAGTCAAAATAAATGTGTGTGTGCATGGTGATGAAGGAACATGTCACCAGTGCAAAAGTGAGGCTCACTGAAGAGTTTTTAATAGTTTTTCTGAACAATGGAGCTCGACGGCACAGAGGAAGAAGATGAATCATGCTCTGATACATACATGTTTCTCTTTTTGGGGGATCTGTTGAAAAAAGGAGCAGCATATCACCAGCTGTATCCTTTATATAGATTTCCTGTGTCTAACCAGTTCTTCATGTGTCCCTCTCTCTCAGCTAGCCTCCTGGGAGGCTCCTCCCGATGCCATGGCCTCCAGCCACGGCTCCTCCCCCGTGCCTCGTCCAGGCCGAGATGGGATGTATCTCAAGGAGCGGGGCGCCCCCCCCCCCTCGCTGCCGGAGCCTCCGCTCGCTGCCTGACGTCTGCCCCAAGGAGCCCACAGGTGGGATCATTTTAAGGCTCCTTTTAACTGATTCATCTGTCAATTCAAGACTCAAGGCTTTATTGACATGTGCACATTAGCTACAGCGTAGATATGCCAATGAAACACTGCAACATGAATATATATATATATATATATAGAGGACATACAACAAATAAAACAGATTAAATAGTGCAAGAGAATGTTCTTCAGATGTGCAAGTAAATACAAATAAAATAGAAATAGTGCAAGAAGAGTCTTCAGTCTGACTGTGATTCGTCCCCTGTGCAGGTGAGGGGCGGGGCCTGTGTGACGGCCCCTCGGTGGTGGCGGATCTCGACAGGTGGACCGTGTTGAGCTCGAAGGTGAACCTCCCGGCGGCGCTGAACGACCCGCGGCTCGCCAAGAGGGAGTCGGACTTCTTCACCAAGACGTGGGGGCTGGACTTCGCCGAGACCGAGGTGATGCCCTCCTTCTACCTGCCCAACATCACCAAGGAACACTTTGCCCCCTACCTGCAGGAGATGGCCCAGGTAACACACACACACACACACACACACTCACTCACTCACTCACTCACTCACACTCACTCACTCACTCACTCACTCACACACACACACACACACACACACACACAGATGCAGACTCACACTCACACACAGAGACACACACACTCACTCACACTCACAGAGAGACACACAGACAGATGCGCACTCACTCACTCACTCACTCACTCACACTCACAGAGAGACACACACACACACACACTCACACACTCACTCACTACACACACACACTCACCACACTCACTCACACTCACACACACACACACACACACACACTCACACTCACAGAGACACACAGACAGACGCGCACTCACTCATACGAGTAAAAGAGGATATCGGATAGGAAATACTTTAAATTGAATTTACTCTGTACTTTGAACCAGACTTCAAATAGCTGCTTTGTAGAGCCATACAACCAATACCGACTAAATGGTCTTTGAGTTGTTGTATTATATTTAATTTGAGGTATATACGTTCTTTTCTAACAAAGTCTTCTGCTTCTATTCGTGTTTGTTGGTGTTAAGCATTTTAAAAGCAGTATTTTCCCTACACTCAAAAAACTGTTTGCTGTCTCGCTAGTTGTAAACAAAAGGAGCACGTATTGCCAAGCAGTAAAGTAAAAGCACTGTAAACGACATCTATCTAGCCACAGAAGCAATGAAGTCTACTTCATCCCGTTTGTATTAGGTGACTTATGGCGCATTTCCACTACAGCGCGGTTTAAGAGTGCCGTGCCCGTTTTTGGTTGCGTTTCCACTCGGCGTAGTTCCGGCTAGCGGGTACTTTTTCACAGTTTTTCTGGCTCTCCAAAATCGAGGTTCTTTCCGGGCCAACAACCGGGCTAAACTAGTGAGAGAATCGCTGGCAACTACAACAAGATGAACATATTTGACCGTGATTTAATTGTAATACACGTTTCAAAATGATGCCGACGTAACTACATACTGATACCGGTTAGTAAAAACCATGAATTAATGCTTTGACATGTCTGCAGACAGACGGCAGGCAAAAAACCTTTTAGAATGCTTGTTTTCTGAATGGAGATCGGCTAAGCTAACGTTGTATATGCTCCGACCGTCCACACTCACAACAACGGCCTATACAGACATAAATAAACCAGCGACTGTATTCTCCATGACACAGACAGTCTGTGGTTTGTACTTGTTTAACTTTTGTCTAGTTTCTGAACAGATATGAGGAGCTGTGAGCTCTGAGTGCTAACAGCTAACGGCTGTGTTGGTTTTGTGTTTCTCATTGAAGATGACGTCACGGCTCCGCCTACACTGCGTTACTATAGATACTGCGTTACTATAGATACTGCCCCAGTTCCTAAACTGTAATGGAAACGCAGCATAAAGTGAGCCTGGCCCAACGAGGCCTAACGAGGCCTAGCCATACGTACTAAGCCGAGCGAGGCCCTGCAGTGGAAAAGCGCCACAGACATTGGAGACGTACTCTCTGATGTCTGTCCTTGGTGTTGGAGTTCAGCCTCGCCTCGGCGTGTCAGGAATCCTGCTGAAGCGGTTTTTTAATCTGTTTGTTTTCATACGCTCAATACGGAAACCATTTTAGGGATTTTTTGGTAAGCTTTGTTCACGTTTTGATCTTCAAATTCAATATAGAAACAGATGTTATCGAAACACGTTTCCTGATTCCAGCTTCCCTCTTTTTATTCTGTGCTGTGTGATTGCAGAAACGAAAGCTTTTTTGCTTCAGAGGTTTTATTCAAAAGCAAACCATGTCATTCAGGGCTCACGTTATAAACGGCCCGCTGGCCCGGAAGCACTATTTAGACCCCCCGGGCCAGCATAACGTACTTTCCACTTGCCCGCTCGGGCCACTCAAAATATTGCTTAAAAAAAAGATGGTCCTGTGGTATTGGTATTTTGACTAGCAATTTAGTTAAATTGTTTCGTTTATTAACGCTACAACATAGCGTTTCGTGAGGCGGTTGTCGTTGTTGGTGCGGAGCAGGCTCCCCTTCACTACAGACTTTCTCGCCACCTAACCATTCGCCAATTTCTTTTTAATACCAGCGGTAACCGGCCAAGCGCCGAGCAAAAAACAATCTTCAAATAAAAGAATGTCACCGGAGGAGTTAAAGGAGAGTGACAGGGAGCATGAGAAGAAGAGGGAGAGAAGGTTTCAGCTTGATCGAAGGAGTTGGCTTCAATATGATGATATAAACAAGGTCTTCTGTCGGCTCTGTACATCAATGCCGACCCATGCTGACAAGTAAGTGAAGAGTAGAAAATATAAAGGTATTGGCTTCAGGGAAATGTCCCAGCAGTTTAGGATGATGACGGTTCTAATCTATTACATAGCCATTACATGCTAACTCCTAATGACAGGAAGGCAGAAAGCGCATTATACTAATAATAATATACTCATAATAATGATTTAACAATGACCACAATATAATTATTTTAATAAACCAAATATGAACAATTGAGGAAAATTAGGAAGAACTGATGTTTCAAATGTTGTAGTAATGTAGTTTGTGCATTAATTCCTATTGCAACAAATGTGTTAATTGTCTTCCTTATTAGTCGATTCTTTGGACGAATGCTCCGGGCCAGTGGTCACCATGGTGGGGCCAGTGACAATGAATTTGACCCTTACCGGAGCCCCCCGGTAATTGTGGTGTAACTCGTTCCTGATTGGGAACCTTGTGTAGCATGTCCCTCTTGATGACAAGTTGCAAGTCATTTATTTATTCTAATATGCACAACAACTGAAAGGAGGAGTCGTTGGGGATTAAAACCCCGTTAAATATGTATTAATAAACATTAACAATGTACAACAATAAAAGTTAAATATAGGGGTTAATATATAAAACATAGAATGGGCCGTTTTTTATTTGTGTGATATCTTTGGAAATGAAAATGTCTATGTGATCAGATCTAAGTGCAATGGGATTACAAGAAGCACAGGTTTGCTCAGTAAATACAGGGGTTTTAAATATTCAAATCTCTTCTTCGCGATAAAATCTCCCTGAATCCTCAAAATAAACGACGATAACAAACATTGTTTTAAAACCCCCAGCATGCATCAGGCGAGGAAACAATGTCCTGGGAAGAAGAGAGGGACTAAAAACAATACTTCTTTGTAAGATATACACTTGATTTGTCTAACGTCCCCTTATAAAGTGGACTAACTTCATTTCTTCCAGATAGATTTTTGAACATATTTTATTATTTATTTATATATTTTATTAATCTTTATTATTTTTGTATGTATTTTTTTTTGTTCACAGTAATTAGTCACATTTTTATTGTTTTGTTTTTGTATATTTATATGTAATTTACTACAAACGTCCATCGTTATTTCCCATTTGAAAGG